TCGGCCTGACGACTCCATGATGGTTAGTGGCCGCTTGATAGGTTGGTTTGTATACACGACGACTGCATGTGCCAAAAAGTAGGGCTTCAATTTTTTAACAGCCATGAAGAGTGCAAGACCAAATTTCTCCACTAAGGGATACCTCAACTCGGCATTTTTCAGTACATGACTGACAAAGTAGACCGGGAGCTGACAGCCGTCACTTTCAGCAAGGAGAACAGCGCTTAACACATGATCAGAGACGGCCAGGTACATGTAGAGTACTTCTTTGGGCAAAGGGCTGACCAGCCTCGGCAAGGAATGCAAGTGAACTTTCAATTTCTGGAAGGCCGCCTCAGCATCCGGCCCCTATTCAAACCTTGCCTTTTTCTTAATTGCCTGGAAAAAGTATAGGCATTTGAAGCCTGATCGGCTTAGAAATCTTCCCAAGGCCGCCAGACAACCTGTTAACCTTTGAACCTCTCGGATGGTACGAGGCGACTGCATGTCAATGACCGCCTGCACCTTCTCAGGGTTCGCCTCTATTCCTCTCTGATTGATAAGGAATCCGAGAAATTTCCCAGACTCAACTCCAAAGACACATTTCTTGGGATTGAGCATGACATGGTGCCGCCTGAGTGTGGCGAAAGTTTCTCGGAGGTCCGACAGATGATCTTTCTGAAGTTTAGATTTGACAATCATATCATCAATATATGCCTCGACATTTCTCCCAATTTGATCAAAGAACACAGTGTTTATCATTCGCTGGAAAGTGGCCGGGGCATTCTTAAGACCAAACGGCATGACCGTGTAACAGTATAACCCCTGATCGGTGACGAAGGCCGTCTTCTCCTGATCTTTCTTCCATAAAGGAATTTGATGGAAACCAGAGTAGGCGTCCATAAAGCTCATCAAAGCATGGCCGGCTGTTGAGTCGACCAGGTTATCAATTTTAGGCAGAGGGTAACTGTCTTTGGGGCACGCCTTGTTTAAGTCTGTGTAGTCTACACACATTCGCCAGGTGCCATTCGGCTTTTTAACAAGCACCACATTTGCAACCCAGTCTGGGAAGTAACATTGCCGAATGAACCCTGCATCAAGTAATTTTTTAATTTCGGCGGCTGCCGCCTGACTTCTTTCTTCGCCATGGTTCCGCTTCTTCTGCCGTACCGGCTTCTTCTTCGGATCCACGACCAGTTTATGTACCTCCAGATCAGGACTAATGCCTGGCATTTCTTGGACTTCGAATGCAAAGATGTCCTTGTATTCTTTCAATAGTTTGTGAAAGTCGTCACCCAGGACTCTCAGAGCAGTCGTCCCAACTTTGACTGTCCGGTCAGGACGTGAGTCGTCTAAGATCAAGTCCGTGTGCTCACCAGCCGACTGAGGGCGGAATTCATCCGACCGCTCCTCTGTCAATGATTGCTATTTTCTGTCTTTTCTTGCGGCCCCCGTCTGGGATGCCTTTCTCTTCTTGCCGCCTGCATCTTGAACAGGCGCACTCTCCTTGACATTGTCAAGGTCTATTTTTCCACCACTCGACCCAGTGGCCATAACAGTGGGCTTGACATCCGAGAGATAGCACTCTCGGGCCATCCTCTGATCTCCCCTTAGGGACCCGACTGTTCCATTATCCCTCTCAAACTTGAGCAACATAAGAGATGGGATTATAACAGCCTTGGAATTATTCAGGGTTGGTCGTCCCAGAATCATGTTGTAGGCCGAGAGTTCTTCTACTACCAGGAACCGGACTACCATGTGTCGTCCTTCCCCTTTTTCGCCCAGGCGGATGGGTAAATCCACTCGTCCCACTGGGTGGACGACTCCTCCTTCAAACCCTACTAAAGGGTGGGATGCCGGATGTATGCAATCAGTCTGATATTTTAGTTTCGACAGACATTTGCTACTGATGAGATCTGAGAAGCTTCCGGTATCTATGAGGATTCAGCCAACTCTCTGGTTGGCCACTTTACATTCAATAACGATAGGGTCGTCATGCGGCCCTCTTACCCCTCTTAGATCTTCTTCAGTGATGACAATCTCAGGAAATGAATATTTGGAGGGCCGTTCTTGGTGAACGGAATTTACATCTAACCGTCTAATATTGTCTTTGTTGCCCCAATAGTGGGGCCGCCTCCTGAGAAGCCGCCTGCAATGGTGTAGACGACTGCATCATCTGTATCGGAACTGTCGGCCTGTTGATTCTTTTTGGCCGACTGCTTTTTTGAGGAAGTGTTCCCCGTAGATTTCTTGACATAAGTGTCAAGATCACCTTGCTCAGCCAGGCGGTCCAGATACCGCATGAGACTGATGCATTCATTGGTGTGTTGACCAACATCTTCATGATAATCACAGGATTTTTCTTGGTTCCGACTGTTTGCATAACCCTTCATGGGGACCGGCTTCTCAATTGAGATCCGTCCCTTGATTTCCTTTAGGATAAATTGGTTATCCTTGTTAAACACATACTTTGGGGAGTATGGTTTGAATTCTTTTTTCTTCTTCTGGGACGGTTGTTTAGAGGAAACAGTTGCCTAGACCTCTTTTCTCTTCTCGTCTTTGTTTGACGACTGCTTATGTCGTCCTTCTCTTTTGTCGGACCTTTTCCCGTCTGACTGTTTTACCGTACTACAAAGATCAGTCGCCTGTATATAGGCTTCCGCTTCAATCAAGGCCTCTTGAAGAGTCGCCACCCTCTTTCGGACCAAATCAAATTTGAAGGTCGACCCGTCTTTGAGACCTTTGAAAAAGTCAGTATAGGCTACTTCATCCGGTAACCCTTGAATCTGTATTCTCATCAGGTTAAACCGCCTGATGTAAGAACGAAGCCCCTCCTTCTCGCCCTGCTGAATTGTTCCTAAATCAAGGGTCGTCTTCTTCGCAGGGATGTTCATGGCGAAGTTGGAGGTGAATAAGTAAGCAAGCGTCCTGAAGTTATTTACACAACCAGTCGGCAGGTTGCCGAACCATTGTTGTGCGATTCCTTTGAGAGTCGCTGGGAAACACTTGCACCAAGTGGGATCATCCAACCCTTGAAGGTACATCAGGTTGGTGAATGCCATCAGATGGTCTTCTGGGTTAGTAGTGCAGTCATAGGCGCCTACTAATACATTTTTCACTTTGGCCGGATGAGCGGCTTCAGTAATTTCTTTGGAGAAGGTCGACGGTTGTTCACCAAGTCTAAGCAACCGTAGCTGCCAGTCCATAGGTTGGACATTTTTTGCTGCATGTCCACCAAACGGAGGTGGCTGTAAAAAATACTGTTGCTGTTGTACAAACGGTAAGTTTGGTACCGCCTGGTCGCTATGAAAGCCGGTCTGACGGGAGGTGCCGCCTGACTGACTCTCATGATACGACTGAGTATGCCTCATCGAGGTATTTCGCAGACTGTCTTGGAAGTTTGAAGTAGAGGCCGACTCTGACAATCGGTCACTCTTCTTCTGCTCTAGCAGTAGCCGAGCGTCTGTGTATGTTTTTCTCGACCCGTCCGCCTGAATATGACGAACAGGTTTCCTATTTCCTTGAGTAGGAAAACGGTATTTTGTGAAATAAAGGGCAGGTGGCTCCCACTTCCTAGATTTAGGATGAGGGGTCGCCTCTCCCCTTGAACTGGTTTCCTCTTCAGTGAAGTGGAGGGTTTCTTAGCCGACTGCTCCTTGCCCAGAGCAGGCGGCTTCTTGTTGATAAACTCTTGAATTTCTCCCTTGAAGTCCCTCATGAAGGTCATGAGTTCGTTCCTTGTGATGGGAGCAGACCCATCAGTCTGCTGCTGCCAAACAGGCGGTGCGCCTGCTGGCTCACTTCCAGTTTGAAGATGTTCCCGTTCCCTCCTTTCGGTATGACGGGTACGTCGGGCCCTTAGGGTCCCGTCTGAAGCTGTGTGAGCTTCAACTTCAAATTCATTCTCAGTATCGTGGTCCGACTGAACTTGAGGGTCGTCTAGGGGACGCCTCTCTTCAGGAGTCGGTACAAACGTGGATGCCATCTCAGAAGTACTCTCCCCACAGACGGCGCCAAAATGTTTCGGGGTTTTCTGATGTCCTGCGGGAGAGTTACAATTCTGATGTCCGACGGTCAAGTTAGTACTTGATTAAGGAGTAATTAATGCGGAAATTAAAGTTATTGGGTCTCTCTAGGTGAGAGTGTTTAATGTATGTAATCTGCTTTTTTAGCGTGTTCCCTCCCTTAATGAGGATTAAGGGAGGTATTTATAACCTCCGGAAACGTGCCAATCTAGGTTTAGGTTAACCTTGGGCTGATTGGGCTTCCCTCGGAAGTTGGGCCTAGGTGACCGGTTATCCCAGGTGTCATGGGAAGGACACGTGTCGTGTCGTAATTGGTCCATGGTGGACGAATCATTGCTTGACACGTGGCAGGATCCTATTGGCTCATGTGACGGACACATGGCGGAACCTGATTGGTCCACTTGTCAGATGGTGATTGGTGGGGAAAAATCCGCTAATCAATAGTTATCCACTTTAGAAGACCGGCAGTCTGGTTAACTCTACAGCCAGACATGCCCTGATGACTTACATGGATGCTTACTCAGGCTTTCATTTGATTCCCCCACGGAAAAAAAGATCAAGAAAAGACGGTATTCGTCAACTGATAAGGGGTTATTCTTTAATACTGTGATGTTGTTTGTCTTGAAGAATGCACCTGCTACTTTCTAACGATTGATTGATACAGTCTTCATCAATCAGATTGGGAGGAATGTAGAGGCGTATATTGATGACATGATAGTCAAAGCAAAACAGTATGAGGATTATCTTGGTGATCTCCGAGATACATTCGCCACACTCAGGCGGCACAAGGTCATGCTTAATCCCAAAAAGTGTGTCTTTGGTGTTGAGTTTGGGAAGTTTCTCAGATTCCTGATTGACCAAAGCGGGATAGAGGCCAACCTTGAAAAAAATACAGGCGGTCATCGACATGTAGTCGCCCCGCACTGTCAAGGAAACCTTGATAAAACAGCAATTTACTTTGGGAATGTTCAGCAGCAGGTGCAGGATATCATTTTGATGAATTCTGGTTTTGTCATGGGTGATATGCCTTTCAGGTACCTTGGTATCCCTCTCAATGCTAAATACTTGAAAGTGAATGATTATGATAGTCTGATTGATAAAATGCTGATGAGACTACAATGCTGGAGTAGCAGAAACCTGTCCTATACTGCTAGAGTCACCCTTGTTAATTCTGTTCTTATGAGCTTACATACTTATTGGGCTCAGTGTGTTCTTTTACCTAAGAAAGTGGTGGATAGAATCACTCAGTTATGTAGGGCTTTCTTATGGAGTGGAAATTTTGTGCTGTCTAAGTCCCCCCCAGTTGCCTGGGATTAGCTTTGCAGACCTAAGAGGTGTGGTGGTTTAGGTATTAGGAATTGTAGAAACTGGAACAGAGCTACTCTAGGAAACTATGTTAGGAAAATTGCAAAAAAATCTGATTCTTTATGGGTTAGATGGGTTCATTCTGTATATATCAAGGAGGATGATTGGTGGGATTATAAACCAAAAAAAGATGTTGGTTGGGCCTGGAAGTTGTTATGTAAGGTCAAAGATGAGCTTAGAGAGGGGTTTGAAACTGAGGATTGGTTAAATAAAAAGTACAGAATCAAAGATGGCTACAAATGGCTTCAGGGTAACATGGATAAAGCAAACTGGTATGACTGGGTTTGGAATCCCTTTAACATTCCTAATCATACTTTTATTTACTGGCTTTTAGCTCTGGATAGGCTCAGAACTAGAGACAGGCTAGCTCAGTTTGGGGTCTGTAACTCTATTGACTGTCTTTTGTGTGGTGAGGATGTTGAAACTAGCAATCATCTTTTCTTTGGTTGTAGTTATAGTACAATGGTCATTGATGATGTTGCTCACTGGCTTGGTTTCCTAGTTCCATTTTGCAGTCTCTTAATAGGTATAAGAACTGGAAAATGAGAGGTAAAAACTGTATCCAGTAGAAAGTGATCATGGCTTGCTTGTCTGCTATTGTTTATAATATCTGGATGGCTAGAAACTATGCCTTTTGGTTTAAAGCTGTTTTAAGGCCAGATTTGCTCTCAAAAGGTGTTAAGAAAGAAGTGATAATTAGATGCCAGCAAATGATCAATCATACTTGGAAGATTGAAGACTGTAAATGGCTGTAGCACCTCAAGTCTTGTATTTAGCTGTTTTTATTGCTTGTTTGTTGTTTAGTCTGGTTGTATGGGGAGTTGGGTGTAAGTCTTTTTGTATTTGCAGGTCTAGGTTTCCCTGAGCCCTTCCTAGAAGGTACCAGGGATCTCTTTGACTTGGTTTTGGTTTTTTGTTCTTGCTTTAAACCCTTCCTAGAAGGTGGTAAAGCTGAACTTCAAACCATGGTGTTTGTTTGCCTTTGTTGTCAAGGCTTGTGTAGCTTTGGGTTCCTGCTGGCCAGGATTGTATACTATTCTTTTGTACAGTTTTTTTGATCAATATACTTTCTTACCTTCCAAAAAAAAAAGGAAGTACAAAAGCTAACAGGCTGCCTGGTGGCTCTGGGGAGATTCCTCAGTTGGTCAGGCGACAAGTGCCTCTACTTCTTCTAGGCGACTAGGAAGAAGACTAGATTTGAATGGGGGGATGATGCTGAGGCGACCTTCCAAAAGTTGAAAGAACATCTGCACTATTTGCCAAGGTGGTTAGCCCTTTGCTAAAAGAGACGCTCTATATGTATATGTAGGGAATATTTCAAGCATTAACCCCTAGCTTGAACCCCACTGTGATCATACACTAAAGTACGGTGGCGTCCAAAGGGAAAGAAGATAGAGCAAAAGAGTCGCCAACAAGTTTTTTAGGAACTTGTAAACCGTTCACGAGGTGAAGGTTACACCCCTTAACGATCCAGGAGATCGTCAACTCCATAAGGTCTTGAACCAAATAGGGTTCGGGGGATGAAAGTACAAATCCAACCTAAAAGAGATTGAACCTGCCTCATAATAGGCCTCTACTTTATTCTGATCGTATTCATGTGCGCTTTCTGACTAACATACAATCAATAGGATTAACCCTAAACCTGTTTAATCTATGTTGGTTGAATATTGATGTGTCTATTTTATGTAGTATTTTACCCCCGTCCCTTGGTAATAATTAGTAGTGTTTTTGGCTCTTTAGAGCCACTTTTATTACTAATTGGTGTTTTCTAGTGTTTTCGTAGATTTGGTTGACTTTTGCAGGGATTTATGCTTTTGGAGTATTTTCCCGAGATATTTTGGAGCAATCACGAACATTGGAGAAGCACGACAAGATTTTATAGCCTAAGGCCGGTTAGAGCCATCGAACCGGTGATTAAGGGCTCGATATAGGTGATACCGGGGCATTTGGACCAAGTATTCAAGACCGGAAGAGGAAACCCAGATTGGCCCGAAGAAATGGGGCCCAATCGTAGTCCAAATAGTGGCCCAAGTGAGCCGCCCTGCCAAAGAGGCTGGCACCCGGAGGCACGCCCGGCCGGGCGGGAGAAGCTATGGTTGGCGCCCAGTGACGCGCCCGGCCGGGCGCGAGATTAGTATTATGAGAAAAAAGGCGCGCCCGATCGGGCGGTGCCTCGCCCGATCGGGCGCGTGTATTTATTAGTGGACGCTTAACGTCGTTTTAATTTGTTTTAGTTTAGGATTTTTGTACGGATTATAAATACTCCTTCGTAATACCATTTTAGGATCTATCTCTTTCCTTGTCTTTTTCTTTTACTCTTTCCTTATTCTCTTAATTATTCTCTTAGATTTCTTTCTCCTAAACCTTTGCTCTTAATCTACTCTTAATTCCAGATTTATTTTGGTAACGATTTCTCTTCTCTTAATCTTAGTTGTTTATTTTATTCCTTTCATCATGACTTATTTTATTACTTTGATTAGTTTAGTTTTTACTATGTGTGAGTAGTTTTATTTTTTAGGGTTGATGGGGATCCATAAATAATATGAAGGGGTAATTTATTGTTGTTGATTGTCAATGCTAGATTAATTTCCTATTGATGGATTTAATTCTCTGTGACTAGATTAGGCCTATCTTTTATGCATGAGTTTGACAACATTGATTCGAGATTCGAGAGATGAGAATTAATGTTTAGGTCTAGTTTCAATAGGCAGATTAATTTATAAATGGTTAAGTCGAGATTCGAGAGATGAGATTTAATACGGGTAAATTAATTTTTTGATTGTAATACGTAGCGAAGGCCCTTTACAATCTGGTTAATTGATGCATTGATGATTGACTATTATTGATTATTGGTATTGCGTGATAATTTCTTATTGAATTGCTTTAACGTTTTACAATTGTGGCTTGTAAAAGTATAGCAATATTAAATTGATGAATCGAGCAGATGTTAATTTGATATTAAAGGCTATTTTCAATAAGAACTTAGATCTAGTAAATTGCGAGAGCCTGTTAGATCTATGTTGATTAATAAATTGCGAGAGCCTGTTAATGTTATTTCTGCAATGTTAATGATTGATTACTATGTTTTACCCTGGAGTATTATTTATTGGTGAGCCTATGCCCTAGATCCTTTTATATATTGTTTTCTCCCTTTTCTTAATATCCGTAGTTTAGTTTCACATCCAAACTTACATATTGGTTACTTTATAATTTAGATTACTTTATTTAATTAGGAATAGAAAGACTAGTTTCTCTGTAGATTCGACCCTACTTCCCTATCTACATTAGTTAGTGGATTTAGGAATTACTTTTGATTAGGGGTACGACTTTACCCTGTCAAAATTTTGCGCCGTTGCCGGGGAAACGGTTTTATTTTTATTTCTGATTATTTTTGTAATCTAGGTTATTTCCCTTTTGTCTCAGAGAGCGTTAGTTCTCTGAGATAAATCTCACATTTTCTTCTAGTTTTTGTTTATGCCCAGGTGTTCCAGATCTGGGTACATCCCATTCGATCCTGAGATCGAACGTTCCTTCCATAGACAGAAAAATTTCTACAAGCAAATTCTTGCGGATTCTGGTGATAATAACAATAATCACCGCGATCCTCCGACTGGTTCTAGCGATTCAGAGACATCATCAGACGCAGAATCAGAGATGACGGCTCCAAAAAAGCTTATGGATTTTCCACATCTCACCCCTACTCCGGCTCTCGATGGGGTTCAATTTGAAATTAAACCTCAATTTATAACGATGATAGAGAGGAAGAAATTTAGTGGAGCCAAGGGTGAAAACCCGAATCTTCACATTGCTGACTATTGCCAATATTGCAACACCATCAGACAAGCTGGGGTCACTCAAGACCAAATCAGGGAGATTCTCTTTCCCTTCTCTTTAACTAGAAAAGCTAAATTGTGGTTTAATGGTTTAAATAGAACTACACTTGGTATAACTGACTGGGAAACTCTTATTTTGAATTTCTATAACAAGTATTATCCTATAGAGAGAACAACAGTACTACGGAGTGCGATCCAGAACTTTGCCCAAGAAGCCGATGAATCTTTATATGAGGTTTGGGAGAGGTTCAAGGATTTACAAAGAGATTTCCCCCACCATAATTTAGCGCAATGGCAGTTAATCCAAGCCTTTTATAATGGCCTTAGAAATTCTTCTCGAATAATTTTAGACTCTTCAGCTAGTGGGAGATTTATGAATCTTGATGTTGAAGATGCAGGTCAGGTTATTGAAGACATGGCGATACACAATTCCCAATATGGGAATCCTAGGGGATTTGCGAACAAGGGGAAGCATAGTGTAGACTCTGTATGCTTTTTTCAAGCTCAACTAACCTCTATTTGCCAATAAATAGATAATCTGAGCACTGCTAATGTAGCTAATGTTTCTGCGATTAATAATAATTCTAATGAGGCTTTCTGTGAAAATTGTGGTATTGTAGGTCATTGGGAGCAAGATTGCAGGAGTTCCGTGGAGCAAGTCAATTCCTTCCAAGCTTATAGGCAGAATAACCAATACTCTAACACTTACAATCCTGGGTATCGGAATCATCCGTACCTTTCCTACCGGAGCACTAATGTTCAAAATCCACCACCACAAGAACCACAGGCGCCACAGCAACAGCAGCAGAAATATTATCATCCAAATGCTAGCCAGAAGAACCAACCACAACAACCCTCCTCATCTTCTGACCCTTCTCTAGTGGAAATTAGAGCAATGTTGGCTAATATGCAAAAGCACATGGAGAGCTGAGATGCGACAATTGATCAAATTCTAGCGCATAATAAAATTGTAGATAATCAAATTGCGCAACTCTCCGCTACTTTACAAGTCCGCCAACAGAGATCTCTGCCGGCACAGCCGACTAGGCCTATGGATCAAGCATTTGAAATTACTCTAAGGAGTGGTTCAAACTACGAAGGGCCCTCTATGCCCGGAATTGATGAACCTGTTTTGTTAAATAATGCTAATCTTAATTCCGTTAAACCAAACAATGTAGTTGATAGCCCTGCAGGGCTAAAGGATAGTACTAACATATCTAATTCTATATTGCAGGGTACATCTCCAGAGAAGGTGGCTACTCCAGACAAGAGTAATAATGCTCCAAAGCCAATTATCAAACTCCCATTCCCCAATCGTCAATTGAAGACAAATTTGGATAAGCAGTTTGGTAAGTTCCTGGAGGTGGTAAAAGATTTGAAGGTAACAGTTCCCTTTACTAAATTGATCACACAAATCCCCTCGTATGCAAAATTTATGAAAGAATTGACAAGAAAAAGGTCTATTAGTGAGGTAGAGATGGTAGCATTCACTGCAGAATGTAGTGCCGTACTTCAAAATAAGTCTCCACCTAAATTAAAAGATCCGGGTAGTTTTTCTATCCCTTGTCATATTGGCAATCTCTTGATTGATAATGCATTATGTGATTTGGGTGCTAGTGTTAGCGTCATGCCATTATCTGTGTGTTCTAAGTTGAATATGGGTAAATTAAAAGCTACCAATATAACTCTACAAATGGCTGGTCGTTCTTTCAAATACCCCTTAGGTGTTTTAGAGGATGTCCCCGCTAGAGTAGGTAAATTTTATATACCTATAGATTTTGTTGTTCTTGATATGGCTGAGGATATGCAAACCCCAATTATTTTGGGTAGACCATTCCTTAACACTGCAAGAGCAGTCATAGATGTAAGAAGTGGTAAGTTAACATTATCAGTAGAGGATGATAAAGTTGTTTTTAACCTGAATAAAGCCCCTAAAAGCTCCATGACTGAGGAGAAATGTTTCAGTGTTAATGTGGTTGTAAATTATTCTAACAAGCCCGAAGCTCTTGATAAAGATCCCTTGGAAGCGATATCTTGTGTTGCATCCTTTTCAGATGAGATAGACAAATGGCAGA